TATATATATAAAGAGTTAAAAATAGATTAAAATACACATTTTTGTGTAAATACATGAATAATTTTCATGTTTTTAATACTTGCGTTCTATCATTTATTATGTAAAAACAAAGGGAAAATAATAACTATTGGTTTACTAAGCAAACCAATTTTAAAGGCCTTCACAATACTTTTTTTTACATCGTGATTAACGTTTGAAGAATTAATGCTTCAAGTAAAAGTAATGGAATATTATTTTTGAACACTTTGAAAATAATAATTGGTAGAATAAACAAAGATATTCCGTAACTAAAAGTAAAAATATGCTGCAATAATAACAAACTAAAGTTCAAAATTCAATTTATTTGCAAATTATTAAAGGTTAGTCTAATTATACAATTTGTGGAACATCTTCCTGAAGATTTTCTTTATTGTTTTCATATCTGAAAAAAAAGAAAAGGATGTTTGCAATTAGATTTAGCAATCAGTACTTCTTGATAGCATACCTCCCATCACTAAAAACTGAATTTAATCATACACGCAATAATGTTTTAAAAATTATTTAACACGCAAAAATGTTCGTTGTTTTTCAGTGATTAGATTTAGATACATTAAAAATCAGTAATTTTAATTTGTATAATTTAAACAACGTTAGTTTCCATAGTTAAACAGATGAATACCTCAAATTTTCAATAATGACTTCAGTCTTACACGCAATAATGAAAAATAATATTATGCATACGAAGCAAAAAAATCTGTTAAAATTACTGTCTTAAACGGTAATAGCACTACTGTTAAAAAAAGAATTAATTGTAGCAATTAAACATAAATAGACGGTATTAAAACCATTGATTTTGTTATTTTTCCATTCGTGTGGTAACGGTTTACTGGGCATTCTGGTTGACAAAATTATGGTTCTTTTTACCACATATTCTGTAAACAATACAAAACTGAATAGAAAATTTAACAGAATAAATTAGGCTATTCTTTAATTTCCGTATCAGTATCATAAAATTATCAAAATTCACCGCATTTACCAATTTTTTTCTTATTTTACAAAACTATATTTTATTCCTAGTTTTAAAAAAATTATTAACAAAGCACTTCGGTAAAACCTGCCGAGACTTTGGTGTTCCCCTAAATACAGAAACATTGTAAATCTTACTATATTCTGAAATTTTTGATCTTTTGACTATACTTTAATTCTCAGTGTAGAAGTAATATTCCTGTTTTTATATCTTCAACGACATTCTTTTAGCTTTATTCCTTATTTCCTATTGAGTTTCTGCTTTTAAACGTTTGTATAACCTTACAGTAGTAGTAATATTTCCTATCTCATTTTAATTTAAGAGCAATTTTATTAACTTGCATGGCATTCTTTTAACTTCAGATCTCTAAATGTCACTAATTTTTCAGTTTTTAAGCATTCTGAAAATTTAATTTTATTGTCAATTTTATTTTCACTTATTATGTTTTTCTAAGATCTCAAGAATGAAGACTGTGTCATTTGGTGCAAAAAATAGTTTTTTAGTTTTTTATTGGTGCTGGATGTGTCTTTTATTTGGATGGAAAGTTTTAAGTTAATTAAATGAACGATTTAGACATTTAAAATCAGCCATTGTTCAATACTTCCGGACCATGTGAAATATCTTGTTTCGATTTATGGTATTGAAGGAATAATGGCAAAAAAAATTATACATGGCGGTGAAACGAAAAGTTAAGGGTGCGGACGGCGATGAGTTTTTAACCTTATAAAATGCAAAATGCTGCTATTTTCTGAAATTTCGGATTGATATTTGACTCTAGGTAACTTTGATGAATAAAAATCTATTATTTTATATTGGTCTTGAATCTAAAGTTAAATATCGATGTATAATGAATCTTAGCTGCTTACTATTGCAGCAATTCACTTTTAATTTTTTTTAAAAAAACAATAGAGCATATTTAAAGTTTTCAAATGAACCATAATGTATCAAGATTAGATAGGCAGTATTATGAACAGTAATGTTACAGCATAATTTTTTTTACAAAAAAAAGGTTACTTGTTGAATCTATTTTTTTGATTCAATTGTTTTGTTCCAATTTTAATAAATGTATTAGAGATTTCTGTAATTTATTGCCATATTTCTGTTTATAGTACTCTCTCACAGTATATTCAGAACAATGGTACCAGTTTTTAATTTACTGATGTTTACTGCTAAATTTTGGTTTGTAAAGCAGATCGGATTTTTCATATTTTCGGACTTTTCATATATTATATTCTTATAAGTTTTCTTCTGTTTTCATTAATCTTTAATTTTTTCCTTGTTTCCTCTATAGTTTTAAATTGTGTATTCCAATATGTGTATAATAGTTTAAAAAATAAAAATATTGAAAATATTGTATCTGTGCGAAACTCCAAAATAAAGGCGGCCTGATTCAAAATAACGGGTTTTTAATAAAATGACAAACGAGATATACAGTTAGAATAGAGAAAAACATTGGCTAGACTCGTTAACACCAAATGACGCAGGTTTAAGGATACATGCATGAAAATCCTAGGCAATTAGCAATGAAAACATGAACACCACGTTTGTCTCTTTTAGATTTTTCTTCGTCGTAACAAATATTGCACAAACTTCTAATGAAATCTTACCAATTTTTTTATTATTATTATTTTTTTTGCATTTTGAAATAAATTTTATAAAGGAAAACAACGACATTCACCAGTAATTTATTACTTCGGTCCGTAAAATAGAAATCTTATAGACATGCACACTATTAATTTATTATCCAAGATGAGTAAAATTGATTTTAATATTTTTTGGAAAGTGCTCAATTTTTTTTAAACGCGTAACATGTTGTAAAATAATTAGTGTTTGGATTTTTTTTAATTTAAAAATAAAAACAGGGACTGGAATTATCAAGTGCACACTTCGTTAATTTCCATTTTAACATAAGTATTTTTTTTTGCATTCTATTGACATTAATGACACCATAAGTGTTGTCGGTGTTTTTTTAAAGAAATATATATTTTATAAATCTGTTTTGGAAAATTGCTATGAAGAGTGTTTTTTTTCGCATCTTCACAAATTTTTTACATAAGATTTCAATATTAATTCAGTTAAAATATAATTAATAATAATCAGCCGTGATTTCATTTTTTCCGGCTCAGGCAAGCAATAGGAGGAAAGAAAAACGTTTGTCGAACTATTCGTCAACAATACTATCGTTTCGTTATATAGTATCACTGTGTTATCTATATAAAAAACTATCTCAAGAAGTTAATTTTCATCTAGTTTTCGTAAGCACGCAATGAGATTTCATGCTTGCTTAATTATTTTAATTGTTTCAAAATAATGTCCAACTGGAAACTTCAAAAATACATATTGGATCACAAACAAGCGAGAAAAAAAACGATAAGTGAACTTCTATGAATCAATTTAAACTCTTAATTATTAATTCATTACCAAGCTAAAACTCTTAAATTTAACCTACATCTTTGTCCCAAATTTATGTTCTTCCCAGGAAATACCGAATTCAACTTTTGGTTGATTGATATCTCTATAATAGGGTATAAGTTACTTAAAATAACAATACTTCGAAAAATGCCTGACATTTTGAAAAAAAATTGATCTTGGTTTATGATTAATTAAAAAAAAAGAACTAAAAGTACAATTCTTGACATTAGTTTTATCTTAAGAGTTTGAATTATGGACTTATTTAAAAGGCAGATTAAGTTTGTAAACTAGTGATAGGTTTTCTTTTTATAACATCAAACACTTCTTCAAACACATTCACACAAAAATTCGTGAAATATAAATATTTTTGTCCAATATTTTGTATAATTGACGTTGAACAGCTGACCCGAATTTGAGCTTAAGACTATCAAGGTCCAACTTCGTATCCTTGCGATTTCAACCCAATCCAGTAGACAAAGGAGCTTTTCGGACTTTCGGGAGAGACTTGCCTTCCTGGAGGAATTTTTGAAAGAACTAAAACGCATTTGCGCTACAGGGAGTTGATAACCACGAACAGCCGGGAGTCTCAAAAATAGCCTTACGGCTAATTGTTCCTAGCCCATGATTCATCCACCAATGAGGATATTTAATGTCGACAGTCAGCATTGTGGATGGTGCGAGCAAGGTGTAGAATTCGTCTCAGACCGCCATAGCTGGGTTTCGAACCCACGCCTTGTTGCAAAAAAATATTCTTCCAAGAGAGAAAAACTGAGTGTTGCCATTATTGTGTTTACGCATTTAAGACTCTTTAATGACACTCACATTGAAGACGGATTTTACGGTATTAAAAAAATTGAACACAGGATTAAAAACTATTTATTAAGTAGAAACTCTCATTAAATTACTTACTAATTTGTCAGCTCTTGAACGGCACCTTTGAGTTTTTGTACTAGAGTAAAATAATAAAGTTACTCATACATATATATATATATATA